ATGTTTTTTTTCTTGGATTTTGCTTATAAGAAGTCTTTTGTTATTATCATGAGCGTTAAACCCGCAGATTTGGATTTCTCACAATTTTACTTATGGCTTTTTGCTCCCCCTGTCTCTTCTAAATTTTTAATTTACATGAAACACCTGCACAAAAAACTGAGAGAATACTCTATGCCTTGTTAGGTAAGGCAAGATAATATTTATTTAGTTAATAAAATAAAGGAAGCTGTATGAGCAAGTCTTCTACTTATTGCTGACCCAGTTATATAAATAACATAGTTGTAATATTTTGAGATAAGAGGTGAATCATGTTATTTCCCTGCTGACTCTGGCTTCTGTTTGGCCAAAACATGTGTAGCTGATCTATTATTTTCTCCTACAGTAAACATGAAATTACATGCTCCTGTTGCATAGGTAATAAATTATGCAAACACTTTTGACATGTATTGAAGAGCTAGATGGAGAAATCTGTAATCTTACTATATTGCTGGTAGCCAAAGGCAGTCAGCAGCTTTCTCTACATCTGGACACAGCCTTCCATAATATTTTACATAAATATTACTTTAATATTTATGTCCTGGAGGTGGGAAGTACAGTGCCTGCATTCTGAGAGTGGTGAGGATATTTGTAGTTTTGAACTGTAGTATCAGCAGGCCTCTGGCAAGACTGATAGAGTAAGTGATGGTGAAAGTGCTTCTTCTTTTCTGGGTCACCTTACCTCGGTGGGGGATAGCTGGTGTGTTAAAAAAAAAAATAGTCTCTCGAATGAATTAATCTTTTCAAGTACAGTGGACCCCCGGTTAACGATATTTTTTCACTCCAGAGGTATGTCCAGGTGCCAGTACTGACTGAATTTGTTCCCATAAGACATATTGTGAAGTAGATTAGTCCATTTCAGACCCCCAAACATACACGTACAAACGCACTTACATAAATACACTTACATAATTGGTCGCATTCGGAGGTAATCGTTATGCGGGGGTCCACTGTACTGTAATTTTTTTTTTTCACAAGTCAGTCGTCTCCCACTGAGGCAGGGTGACCCAAAAAGAAAATCCCCATTCAACACTTTCACCTCATTCACACATAATCACTGTTTTTGCAGAGGTGCTCAGAACACAACAGTTTAAAAGCATATATGTATAAAGATACACAACATATCCTTCCAAACTGCCAATATCCTAAACCCCTCTTTTAAAGTGCAGGCATTGTACTTCCCATTTCCAGGACTCAAGTCCGGCTATATAAAAATAACCAGTTTCCCTGAATCCCATCACTAAATATTACCCTGCTCACACTCCAACAGCTCGTCAGGTCCCAAATACCATTCATCTCCATTCACTCCAAACACGCTCATGCACGCTTGCTGGAAGTCCAAGCCCCTCGCCCACAAAACCTCCTTTACCCCCTCCCTCCAACCTTTTGTTTGATATAGTGAAGTCCTACACATTTGGTACAAATTCGTAAGGAAATGTGGCTTTATTTATGATGTTGACATATACAGAGTGTATGTCAGCTGATAAACCTCACTACGTCCAACTCAGTCCAGCTGGCCCACGTTAACCCTCCCCACACTCTTCATGTACTTAAAGTAATGACTAACAAAAAGTATGGAAAGTAATTTTTACCTTGTAGTGCGGTCAACAAAAATTTGATAGGCAGATGTTTAGAAGTCTGCAGCTTAATTCTGTTTTCCCCATGCATTCATTCTTATAATGCTAATTTCCAAAAGTCATTGTTTTTCATGACCATATCCCTTGTGTTATGAGACTTTACTGTTATCTGTATAGCACTTACCTAATATATTACTTACATGAAGTTTAGACAAATATTCTGGCTCATATACCTTCCTCATTCTCTGCCACTGAATTCATTCTGATCTTTTTTTCCACTGTTTACTGAACATCACATTCTTTCTCTCTTATTTATTACCTTCCTTAATCCTTTTTTCATTTTAAGATGAATAAGAAAGCACAATCATTCAGTTTTTGCTATGGTTGAAAATAAGGAATACTGTGTTTTATTAAATTTTTGTCTAAAATATACAAACAATACCAAATCAAACTGGCATACTGAATTAGGAAGTAATTCAGTATGTAAACATTAATACAAATGTGTAGATAATAAACATGTGCATATCTCTTGAACTGTGTATTTGGGTCTTTATCTATCACTATACCTTTCCTGTCACTGAAAGACTAAAACTTTCCCAAGTTCTATCATCATCTAACCAGCAATATTTTCTACACAATGTCCTATTATCAATAAAACTTACATTTTATTCATAAGTTCTTAAATACAGTGGACCCCCAACTTATGATGTCCTCAACCTACGTTAAAACCGACTTACGATGCTTGTCAGTGTAAAAATTTGACCCCGACATATGCTGTTTAATATATTTATAGATGGGGTTGTAAAGGAAGTAAATGCTAGGGTGTTCGGGAGAGGGGTGGGATTAAATTTTGGGGAATCAAATTCAAAATGGGAATTGACACAGTTACTTTTTGCTGATGATACTGTGCTTATGGGAGATTCTAAAGAAAAATTGCAAAGGTTAGTGGATGAGTTTGGGAATGTGTGTAAAGGTAGAAAGTTGAAAGTGAACATAGAAAAGAGTAAGGTGATAAGGGTGTCAAATGATTTAGATAAAGAAAAATTGGATATCAAATTGGGGAGGAGGAGTATGGAAGAAGTGAATGTTTTCAGATACTTGGGAGTTGACGTGTCGGCGGATGGATTTATGAAGGATGAGGTTAATCATAGAATTGATGAGGGAAAAAAGGTGAGTGGTGCATTGAGGTATATGTGGAGTCAAAAAACGTTATCTATGGAGGCAAAGAAGGGAATGTATGAAAGTATAGTAGTACCAACACTCTTATATGGGTGTGAAGCTTGGGTGGTAAATGCAGCAGCGAGGAGGTGGTTGGAGGCAGTGGAGATGTCCTGTTTAAGGGCAATGTGTGGTGTAAATATTATGCAGAAAATTCGGAGTGTGGAAATTAGGAGAAGGTGTGGAGTTAATAAAAGTATTAGTCAGAGGGCAGAAGAGGGGTTGTTGAGGTGGTTTGGTCATTTAGAGAGAATGGATCAAAGTAGAATGACATGGAAAGCATATAAATCTATAGGGGAAGGAAGGCGGGGTAGGGGTCGTCCTCGAAAGGGTTGGAGGGGGTAAAGGAGGTTTTGTGGGTAAGGGGCTTGGACTTCCAGCAAGCGTGCGTGAGCGTGTTAGATAGGAGTGAATGGAGACGAATGGTACTTGGGACCTGACGATCTGTTGGAGTGTGAGCAGGGTAATATTTAGTGAAGGGATTCAGGGAAACCGGTTATTTTCATATAGTCGGACTTGAGTCCTGGAAATGGGAAGTACAATGCCTGCACTTTAAAGGAGGGGTTTGGGATATTGGCAGTTTGGAGGGATATGTTGTGTATCTTTATATGTGTATGCTTCTAGACTGTTGTATTCTGAGCACCTCTGCAAAAACAGTGATAATGTTCGAGTGTGGTGAAAGTGTTGAATGATGATCAAAGTATTTTCTTTTTGGGGATTTTCTTTCTTTTTTGGGTCACCCTGCCTCGGTGGGAGACGGCCGACTTGTTGAAAAAAAAAAAAAAAAAAAAAAATGCTGAAAAACTACTTACATCACTCATCCCGTACAGTTCACGCATACATTTGATATATTTTGTATTATTCCAGTGTTTTTAGTGCTTGTAACTGCTAAATAAGCCACCAAGAGCCCAAAGAAAGCTTCTAGTGTCAACCCTGTGGTAAAAAGGGTGAGAAATACTATCGAAATACTATTGTACCATGGTCAGCTGCTGCTGCATCACGGTCAGCAGCTGCTGCTGCTGTACCATGGTCAGCTGCTGCTGTTGCTGTAGCACTGTCAGCTGCTGCAGCACTGTCAGCTGCTGCTGCACCACGGTCAGCTGCTGCTGCACCACAGTCAGCTTTACTACTCGAAGATGTGGAGAGACTGTTATTGGTGTGGCTTATCGAGAATACCGAGAAATAATTAACCCCAGAGGGTTAGCCACCCAGGATAACCCAAGAAAGTCAGTGTGTCATCAACGACTGTCTAACTTATTTCCATTGGGGTCCTTAATCTTGTCCCCCAGGATGCGACCCACACCAGTCGACTAACACCCAGGTGAACAGGAAAAAATGCCTGGAACTAGTGCTCATATTGGTGAATTTAAGGCCAGCAAAGGTTGGTTTGAGAGATTTAAGAATTGTAGTGGCATACACAGTGTGATAAGGACTGTTCTGGAAGAAAATGCCAAACATAATCTACATTACTCAGGAGGAAAAGGCACTCTCATCACTCATCACCACATCTTCAATAAAGGTAAGTGTCATTTATTCTTCATTTAGTACACTAGTACATGCACAATATATATTGTGCATGTATCCTTTAATCCTGACTCTCTCATTGACTTCTTGACAACGACTAATTTACTCCACAAACTCTGATGATACTTTTCGCACTCCCCTCAGCCCTTTCTAGTTCAGTCTCTTGCTGCCCTTTACCCTTTCACCATCCACTGCCCCGCTGTTATCCGTAACCTATTACTCATCCATCTCCCTTTTGCCACCTGATGCCCTCGCTTCCTTCCTGCCCTGCAGCGCTGTATAGTCCTTGTGGCTTAGCGCTTCTTTTTGATTATAATAATAATGTGCATGTATCCTTCTTTTTGTGTAGGAAAATGTGTATTTCATGTGGCAAAAAAAATTTTTTTCATACTTTTGGGTATCTTGAACGGATTAATTTGATTTCCATTATTTATTATGGGGAAAATTAATTCGACTTACAATAATTTTGTCTTACGATGTGCACTCAGGAACGGATTAGTATCATAAGTCGGGGGTCCACTGTACATTGAAATTCCTCATATGTGGCCTCATACTGAGGAAATATTACAATAAATCAAATATTAACAGGAAAGAGACAAAATAATACAGAGCTTTATGAGAGAATATTGAATAAAGAAAATACACTTACACCAAAAAACAATTTATTATACAAAAGTTTATTCCATACAGAAAATTATATACTGTACATAGTAGCCTTTTACTGAATAATTTATTCAACAGTATTTACAGTTTGTGTAACTCCACACAGATATTTACATAACAATAATAGAAATTAACTATTAACATAACTGTGTTGTTCTCTTTAAGAGAATCTGCAATCTTAGGTAGGTTACTGAGCCTGTACATAACTTGTAGTCGTCTCACAGGGTTAATATTGCTTTGAGTGAAGAAACTTGCAGTTCTTCCCATGTCGGCAATGGCCATTCATAAAATGTTTACAGGGTGGTGGTGGGCCCCTGGGGGGTCCCCAGCTACCACCTCGTCCACGGAATCTTGGTCCTCCTCCCATCCCCATGTTTTGCATCATACCCCGGGACATGTTTGGTCTTCCTCCCATCATCATACCTTGACCTCCACCACCCATCATCATATTCTGGTTAGGAAAATCTGTCCCTGGACCACCCCAGCCTGGGCCATCCATTCCTCCACTTGCATCCCCACCATAGTTGCCAGGTCCACCATATCCACTTGGTCCACCAGGTCCATACATGGGACCAGCAGTAAACTGAAGAAAATAAACAACAGGTTAGTTTTTCATACTTCTATTTCTTCACATCATAAAATATAAATAAATAATAAAAAATTTTTTGGGGGGGATATGATGAGCCATTTGAGTGTGAGCAAGGTAACTTTATGTGAACTTTAGCTTGAGTCCCACTTCCAGGACTCAAGCTGGAGTCACAGAGGTGGGAAATACAGTGCCTGCAATCAGAAAAGGTGGGATTATTTTCAGTGTTGAGCTGTAATATCGGTGCCTCTCCAGCAAGACAGTGATGGAGTGGTTGATGGTAAAAGTGTTTCTTCTTGTGTGGGTCACCCAATCTCAGTGGAAGACAGCCGGTTTGTTGAAAAAAAAATATATGTATGTAGGTTGGTAGACAGCAACCACCCAGGGAAGTACTACCGTCCTGCCAGATGACTGTGAAACAAAAACCTGTAACTGTTTTGCATGATGGTAGGATTGCTGGTTTCTTTTTCTGTCTCATAAACACGCTAAGATAACAGGGATATCTTGCTACTCCTACTTACACTTTGGTCACACTTCACAGACACGCACATGCATATATATATATACATACATCTAGGTTTTTCTCCTTTTTCTAAATAGCTCTTGTTCTTTTTTATTTCTTCTATTGTCCATGGGGAAGTGGAAAAGAATCTTTCCTCCGTAAGCCATGCGTGTCGTATGAGGCGACTAAAATGCCGGGAGCAATGGGCTAGTAACCCCTTCTCCTGTATACAATTACTAAAAAAGAGAAGAAGAAAAACTTTATAAAACTGGGTTGCTTAAATGTGCGTGGATGTAGTGCGGATGACAAGAAACAGATGATTGCTGATGTTATGAATGAAAAGAAGTTGGATGTCCTGGCCCTAAGCGAAACAAAGCTGAAGGGGATAGGAGAGTTTCAGTGGGGGGAAATAAATGGGATTAAATCTGGAGTATCTGAGAGAGTTAGAGCAAAGGAAGGGGTAGCAGTAATGTTAAATGATCAGTTATGGAAGGAGAAAAGAGAATATGAATGTGTAAATTCAAGAATTATGTGGATTAAAGTAAAGGTTGGATGCGAGAAGTGGGTCATAATAAGCGTGTATGCACCTGGAGAAGAGAGGAATGCAGAGGAGAGAGAGAGATTTTGGGAGATGTTAAGTGAATGTATAGGAGCCTTTGAACCAAGTGAGAGAGTAATTGTTGTAGGGGACTTGAATGCTAAAGTAGGAGAAACTTTTAGAGAGGGTGTGGTAGGTAAGTTTGGGGTGCCAGGTGTAAATGATAATGGGAGCCCTTTGATTGAACTTTGTATAGAAAGGGGTTTAGTTATAGGTAATACATATTTTAAGAAAAAGAGGATAAATAAGTATACACGATATGATGTAGGGCGAAATGACAGTAGTTTGTTGGATTATGTATTGGTAGATAAAAGACTGTTGAGTAGACTTCAGGATGTACATGTTTATAGAGGGGCCACAGATATATCAGATCACTTTCTAGTTGTAGCTACACTGAGAGTAAAAGGTAGATGGGATACAAGGAGAATAGAAGCATCAAGGGAAGAGAGAGGTGAAGGTTTATAAACTAAAAGAGGAGGCAGTTAGGGTAAGATATAAACAGCTATTGGAGGATAGATGGGCTAATGAGAGCATAGGCAATGGGGTCGAAGAGGTATGGGGTAGGTTTAAAAATGTAGTGTTAGAGTGTTCAGCAGAAGTTTGTGATTACAGGAAAGTGGGTGCAGGAGGGAAGAGGAGCGATTGGTGGAATGATGATGTAAAGAGAGTAGTAAGGGAGAAAAAGTTGCATATGAGAAGTTTTTACAAAGTAGAAGTGATGCAAGGAGGGAAGAGTATATGGAGAAAAAGAGAGAGGTTAAGAGAGTGGTGAAGCAATGTAAAAAGAGAGCAAATGAGAGAGTGGGTGAGATGTTATCAACAAATTTTGTTGAAAATAAGAAAAAGTTTTGGGAGTGAGATTAACAAGTTAAGAAAGCCTAGAGAACAAATTGATTTGTCAGTTAAAAATAGGAGAGGAGAGTTATTAAATGGAGAGTTAGAGGTTATTGGGAAGAGGAAGGAATATTTTGAGGAATTGTTAAATGTTGATGAGATAGGGAAGCTGTGATTTCGTGTATAGGGCAAGGAGGAAAATAACATCTTGTAGGAGTGAGGAAGAGCCAGTTGTGAGTGTGGGGGAAGTTCGTGAGGCAGTAGGTAAAATGAAAGGGGGTAAGGCAGCCGGGATTGATGGGATAAAAGATAGAAATGTTAAAAGCAGGTGGGGATATAGTTTTGGAGTGGTTGGTGCAATTATTTAATAAATGTATGGAAGAGGGTAAGGTACCTAGGGATGGCAGAGAGCATGCATAGTTCCTTTGTATAAAGGCAAAGGGGATAAAAGAGAGTGCAAAAATTATAGGGGGATAAGTCTGTTGAGTGTACCTGGTAAAGTGTATGGTAGAGTTATAATTGAAAGAATTAAGAGTAAGACGGAGAAGATATGGATAGCAGATGAACAAGGAGGCTTTAGGAAAGGTAGGGGGTGTGTGGACCAGGTGTTTACAGTGAAACATATAAGTGAACAGTATTTAGATAAGGCTAAAGAGGTCTTTGTGGCATTTATGGATTTGGAAAAGGCGTTATGACAGGGTGGATAGGGGGGCAATGTGGCAGATGTTGCAAGTGTATGGTGTAGGAGGTAGGTTACTGAAAGCAGTGAAGAGTTTTTACGAGGATAGTGAGGCTCAAGTTAGAGTATGTAGGAAAGAGGGAAATTTTTTCCCAGTAAAAGTAGGCCTTAGACAAGGATGTGTGATGTCACCGTGGTTGTTTAATATATTTATAGATGGGGTTGTAAGAGAAGTAAATGCGAGGGTCTGGCAAGAGGCGTGGAGTTAAAGATAAAGAATCACACACAAAGTGGGAGTGTGTCACAGCTGCTCTTTGCTGATGACACTGTGCTCTTGGGAGATTCTGAAGAGAAGTTGCAGAGATTGGTGGATGAATTTGGTAGGGTGTGCAAAGAGAAAATTAAAGGTGAATACAGGAAAGAGTAAGGTTATGAGGATACAAAAAGATTAGGTGATGAAAGATTGAATATCAGATTGGAGGGAGAGAGTATGGAGGAGGTGAACGTATTCAGATATTTGGGAGTGGACGTGTCAGCGGATGGGTCTATGAAAGATGAGGTGAATCATAGAATTGATGAGGGAAAAAAAGAGTGAGTGGTGACTTAGGAGTCTGTGGAGACAAAGAACTTTGTCCTTGGAGGCAAAGAGGGGAATGTATGAGAGTATAGTTTTACCAACGCTCTTATATGGGTGTGAAGCGTGGGTGATGAATGTTGCAGCGAGGAGAAGGTGGAGGCAGTGGAGATGTCATGTCTGAGGGCAATGTGTGGTGTGAATATAATGCAGAGAATTAGTAGTTTGGAAGTTAGGAGGAGGTGCGGGATTACCAAAACTGTTGTCCAGAGGGCTGAGGAAGGGTTGTTGAGGTGGTTCGGACATGTAGAGAGAATGGAGCGAAACAGAATGACTTCAAGAGTGTATCAGTCTGTAGTGGAAGGAAGGCGGGGTAGGGGTCGGCTAGGAAGGGTTGGAGGGAGGGGGTAAAGGAGGTTTTGTGTGCGAGGGGCTTGGACTTCCAGCAGGCATGCGTGAGCGTGTTTGATAGGAGTGAATGGAGACAAATGGTTTTTAATACTTGACGTGCTGTTGGAGTGTGAGCAAAGTAACATTTATGAAGGGATTCAGGGAAACCGGCAGGCCGGACTTGAGTTCTGGAGATGGGAAGTACAGTGCCTGCACTCTGAAGGAGGGGTGTTAATGTTGCAGTTTAAAAACTGTAGTGTAAAGCACCCTTCTGGCAAGACAGTGATGGAGTGAATGATGGTGAAAGTTTTTCTTTTTCGGGCCACCCTGCCTTGGTGGGAATCGGCCGGTGTGATAAAAAAAAAAAAAAAAAAAATGTATATCCTAGGTTGGGGAAATGGTGTAAATTACCCCCAAATGGGGTAAAAATGAAAATCTCAGTGGTAATGAAGGCTCAATAAACATATAAATAAAATTTCATAAAAAAATATTATTTAATAATTGAAGCAAATTATGACAGTTATTTTATTTTCAAACAAATAATTTTTAGTTATCTTAATAAAATAAAAAATCTAATTTGTAGGGATCATTTCTTAAGTTGGCAATAATGTAAAACAGATTCTGTAGACTTTTGAGTCTAGTGGGTAATTTCACTGTACACAAATTTGTTTTGGGGTAATACCCAAAAAAAGTTTGCTGACCTCTGATGTATACGTATATACATACACAGTAGGGCCCTGCTTTATGGCACTTCGCTTTATGGGGATTCGCTAATATGGACATTTCAAATTATGACCAAAAATTAGTTTATATGGCTCACTGATTCACTATTACAGTGTCCACGTACCACTCTTTGTTTACATCCTCCATGAGCTCCGTGTCTCTCCATTATGTCTGGAAACTTTCCAAAATTTCAAGTGTTTTAAAGTTATTGCATATTTTATGTAAACTCTGATAATTGTACTTATGTATATCTGTACCTAAATAAACTTACACACTGTGCTGGTATGCAGGTACACATTAAAATCACAAAGTGTGTCTGACTTGTGTTGAAGATGCAATAATAATAATAATTGCTCTGGGAGCACTTGAAATACCAGTAATTGCATTATTATAGACATTTTCATTAATCCATCTATGATATTTTTTTTTTAAATTATATAAGAAACACATTACATGTTGTATAAATTTAATAAATACAACCATAGTAAAACAAATTGACATAAATGTGAGATGTGGTAGTTGGGAGGCTGTTAGGAGTGATGGAAAGAATTCCATGTTCTCTGGTCCAACATCAACTTAGTATTACTGGGGGGTAACTGTAGAAAACTATTCCTAGGTTAAGCCTTCACTTGTTGCATAATTCACTCTTAAAATGGTGTGTTGCATGAGAATGGGAGTGTTGCTGTTATTTACTCTACTCCTCCAACATGAAGACAAATTGTACACATTGTAAAATGTTTGTATTGTGGAGGAAAAGCTTCACAAATATATGAATAATGAACGTGTATAAACCATAAACGGACAAGTATTAATACGCATTTGTCTGTTTGTTTACGTTCTCTGTGTCTCTTTCGTTTAGGATGGCATCTAAGGGTAATTGTTAGAAATGATTAAGCTCAATGATCAAGGTATGTCTATGGTAATAATAAGATAATTATCGCTCTGGGGTGCTTTAAATGTCATATACAGTGGACCCTCGAGCAACGATGGCATCGTCTTAACGTTAAATCCGACTAGCGATACATTTTAACGCAAAAATTTTGCCTCGACTAGCGCTAAAAAACTCGACCAACACAATTCGTTCCGTCTGAGACGCGTTCACTTGTGGCCAGTGTTTACAAGCCAGCCAGCCACCGCGGTCCCATCCAAACATACTATCGGAACATTTCATATTATCATAGCGTTTTTAGTGATTGCACCTGCAAAATAAGTCACCATGGGCCCCAAGAAAGCTTCTAGTGCCAACCCTACAGCAAAAAGGGTGAGAATTACTATGGATATGAAGAAAGAGATCATTGGTAAGTATGAAAGTGGAGTGTGTGTCTCCGAGCTGGCCAGGTTGTACACAAAACCCCAATCAAACATCGCTACTATTGTGGCCAAGAAAACGGCTATCAAGGAAGCTGTTCTTGCCTAAGGTGCAACTATGTTTTCGAATCTGAGATCGCAAGTGATAGAAGATGTTGAGTGACTGTTATTGGTGTGGATAAACGAAAAACAAATAGCAGGAGATAGCATCTCTCAAGCGATCATATGTGAAAAGGCTAGGAAGTTGCATGAGGATTTAATTAGAAAAATGCCTGCAACTAGTGGTGATGTGAGTGAATTTAAGGCCAGCAAAGGTTGGTTTGAGAGATTTAAGAATCGTAGTGGCATACATAGTGTAATAAGGCATGGTGAGGCTGCCAGTTTGGACCAAAAAGCAGCTGAAAAATATGTGCAGGAATTCAAGGAGTACATAGACAGTGAAGAATTGAAACCTGAGCAATTGTTTAATTGTGACACTGACAATGTTGTGAAACATTTTAGGAATGTCATAAAGGAACGGGAGGTACAGGCCTCTATGGACGGATATGTTGTGCGACAGAGGTCCAGTGACTCTCAAGCTGGTCCTAGTGGCATTAAAAGAAGAAGGGAAGTAACCCCGGAAAAGGACTTGACACCTCAAGTCCTAATGGAAGGGGATTCCCCTTCTAAACACTAACACCATCCACAGTCTCCCCTCCTCCCATCCCATCAATCATCACCAGATCTTCAATAAAGGTAAGTGTCATGTAATTGTACATGTCTTCTTCAGTTTGTGTATATTAAAATTAATATTTCATGTGGTAAAAATTTTTTTTTTTCAATACTTTTGGGTGTCTTGCACGGATTAATTTGATTTCCATTATTTCTTATGGGGAAAATTAACTCGACTAACGATAATTTCGATTAACGATGAGCTCTCAGGAACGGATTAATATCGTTGGTCAAGGGTCCACTGCATTTTATGTAGGTGTGGTAGCTGGGTGAGTTACCACACCTGACTTCCTACAATAAATACTACTCACCTCTCAACCCTACATTAAGACTACAAATATTTTAAGGTAAATAATGTGCACAATGCATGCACTTTAAAGGAGGGGTTTTGGATACTGATAGTTTGGAGGGATATGTTGTGTATCTTTATGCATATATGCTTCTAAACTGTTATATTCTGAGCACCTCTGCAAAAACAGTGATTATGTGTGAGTGAGATGAAAGTGTTGAATGATGATGAAAGTATTTTCTTTTTGGGAATTTTCTTTCTTTTTTGCGTCACTCTGCGTGTGTATTTTACTTTTTTGTCTTTTAATGCCTAGTTCTATTGCTAACTTAATATAAGATAATGTAAACATGTTATTGGGTATTTAAATGCATTTATAAGTGATAAAAGGGTGATTTGCTTTACATTTCTACTTTATGGCAGTAGCCTGGAACCTAACCTGTATAATTGGTGCCTTACTGTATATGTTTATTAACACACTGGCTGTCTCCCATCAAGGTAGAGTAACCCAAAAAATAAACACTTTCACCATCATTCACAATATTACTGTCTTGCCAGAGGCACAAATACAACAGGTCAATGTCCCTCCAGCAGCAAATATCCCCATCCCTCTTTCAGAGTGCAGGCACTGTACTTTCCACCTTCATTCATTCATATTCTTTAGGGGTCAACTTAACAATCCCTCTTCACTTAACTTGGTATTTTAACAAGAAATAGGTTCACCAATAAACTGGAAATGGAAACTAGACATTCTGGTCCATATGAACTGTTATCAAGATGTAAATTGATAAGTGCACAGGACAGACCAAAATATCTAGCTTATAATTCTGATCTGCTGGCAAGTTGTGAATCATTCTAATTATGACAGTGTGAGCTTTATCTTAAGAAACTGGTTATTATAAATTATATATATATATATCACTGCATGTATAGTATTAATATTATACAGCCTCTCCTCACTTAACGACGGGGTTCCGTTCTTAATAGTAGGTCTGTAAGCGAATTGGTCGTTAAGCGATGAGTACACTATACTGGTAGCGGGTTTGTGTCACCCATCTTAAGATATTTTTTTAATGTCACCTTTGCTTCATTTATAACATTTCTAGTATACGTATTTTTAAATGTTCATACAGTGGTGTACTGTATACCGTAATAAACAGAATAGAGGAAATCAGGTCTAGTATACACTGCTTAGGTTTGCATACTGGTTGGGAACCTGGTCGCAAGTACGAGTAGTCGGTAAACGAGTACGTCACTAAGTGAGGAGAGGCTGTATTCGTATGGCGGCAATAAAATGCTAAGGGTTTATACAACACCCAGGGAATGAGAGGTAATCAGGTCTGGTCCAAAAATGGGTAGGGTAGCTTCAATTCAAGAGCCCTTCCCCAGCCTCAAGAAATCCCCCTTAACAGACACATTTCTTACTAAAGATACTTACTGCGCCACTTGGTGGACCTCCTACGACCCAATGTGAGCCACCAGTGCCACTGCCAATGGGCATCCCTCCCATAGCACCCATGTTACCATAACCATAATTTATGGGTTCATTTATGGAAGGTTCTGGCCATAACTTATTGCGATGGTCATGTAAGTTGTCTTGGCCAGAAATATCATGTAATGGGATTTCTTTGATTTCTGCTCTAACCACCATCTCTGGGTCTGGCTCACGAGGAGAGTCTGGAAGCCTGGAAAAAGAGATAAAATTATGTTACATGCATTTACACCTGGAAAACCTATAGAAGCACAAAAAATCAAACTTTATATTTCTTCTTTCAACAAACCAGGCATATCCTACCAAGGCAGGGTGGACCAAAAAGGAAAACAAAAGTTTCTTTTCGTAACTTTAGTAATGTATACAGGAGAAGGGGTTACTAGCCCATTGCTCCAATGATTTTATTCGCCTCTTACAACACGCATGACTTATGGAGGAACAATTCTGTTCCACTTCCCCAGGATGATGAAAGGAAATAAGAACAAGAACTATTAAGAAAGTAAAAGACAACTCAAGTGGGTGTGTATATATGTGTACATGCATATGTAGTGTGGCCTAAATGTAAGTAGAAGTAGCAAGATGTACCTGATATGTTGCATGTTTATGAGACAGAAAGGACACCAGCAATCCTACCATTGTGTGAAAGAATTACAAGTTTCCATTTCACACTCATTTGGAACAAGGAATGTACAGAATCTATTATATAAGGAATATTTAAAATCTCTTAGGCAGTAGGTTGGTAGACAGCAACCACCCAGGGATATACCACCGTCCTGCGATGCGAGTGTAAAACGGAAACCTGTAATTGTTTTACTTGATGGTAGGATTGCTGGTGTCCTTTTTTCTGCCTCATAAACATGCAAGATTTCAGGAACATCTTGCTACTTCTACTTGCACTTAGGTCACATTATACATGCATGTACAAGCATACATATACACACCCCTCAGGGTTTTCTTCTATCTTCTTAATAGTTCTTGTTCTTGTTTATTTCCTCGTATCTCCATGGGGAAGTGGAACAAGATTTTTTCTCAGTAAGCCATGCCTGTCATAAGAGGCGACAAAAATGCTGAGAGCAAGGGGCTAGTAACCCCTTCTGTATACTTTACTAAATTTAAAAAGAAAGATTTTCGTTTTTCTCTTTAGGTCACAGTGCCTCGGCAGGATGCGGTTGGTTCATTGAAAAAATCTATTAACCCTTTGACTGTCGCAACCCCCAATCCTGAGGTGTCTCCTGGTGTCGCAAAATTTCAAAAAAAAAAAAAAATTATTTTTTCTTATGAAATGATAGAGAATCTTTTCCCGATTGTAATGATACCAAAAAAACGAAATTTGATGGAAAACTGACGGACTTATGCTCTCGCGAATTTAGCGACCTCGGCACTATTTACAAATCGGCGATTTCGCCCACTTTGAGCCCTATTTTTGGCTAATTCCATTGTTCCAGTCGCCCAAACTCATAGCTATTTCTTTAGAACTCCATTTTTTCTATCGATTGAGTACAAGAAACTGCCCATTTACCGATTTCAACTACCTAATAATGTGGTCAGAAATTTGCAATTTGGCCAATTTCACGAAAACTAAAAAATATGACAATTTCAAAATAAGGTCCAGAATGAACAATGCAGACATTCCTGGCTCTAAAATAACATTTTCTTTGCTCATCAGTCGTGTTTCCAGGCCCCTCTGATATTACTCTTGCTTTCTATTTTGAATTTTTATTCAAACAAAAAATTGAAGACTTACTATTATGCAGACTACTGCAATACTGTAATAATTGTATAAATAACATGGCTAGTTGGACATTTACTGGAAAATGGCATCATTTGCTTACTTTTGAACATTGGCAAAAATCAAACATTTCCCCTACTTTGAGCTCCATTACTAGGTTCTTTTTATAGTAAAATCAATCAAAATCACCTCTATTTCTATAATATGTTTTCCATTCTATCAAATGAGACCAAGAAAACGAGAATACAACCATAAATACTATACGAAAATAGACCACAAAGTCGGCATTTTAATTAAAAAAAACGGTCGGAGTTTTTTTTTTCTCATTATGCACTGCGTGCTCCAGGATTTTTTTTATATGGTGCACACTGACCACACAGACCCATTCTCTCACATGTAGGCCTACCAGCTTTCTCCTGCTTGATTTGAAGCCGCTAGAATTTATGAGTATATATACGTCAAACACGGTACCTCGTAAGACGTATATATACGGCCGCGACAGTCAAAGGGTTAAATAAGTGTATAGAATATGTTGCATGAAAATGTGTCTTACTTATCAACTTGTTGATAAAATTACAACGAAATGATTCAGTGTAACTTACATAGCTGGATGAAAGAAGGCAGCCATAGTCGAGCTCTCTCGAGCTGCCTGGATGACCCGTTCTTGACTTCTGCACCCAGGTGTGATGTTTGGTTGGCCAGTGAGCATGACAGGTAGCAGGGACCATCTCATAAATTCCTGCACATTGTTCACATTCTGATACATGCCCATGCCACCCATCATGTCATCTCCCATACCACTGAAATTGTTCATATTTCCTCCCAGCAGTCCCACGTTTCCATGCAAGGCTCGGTTTTTGCCCATGAATTCACGTTCTCGCTGTTTCTCCATTACCATCAGTTCATTAAACTTTATTGCATTTACATTCACTGTAAAGAAATAAACAAGATTACAAAATACTGTACCATTATATAAGACCACTTCTATACAATATAATATGTACAGCCAAATACATAAATAAATTTTAAGTAGTCTCTCACATAACACACATTTGAGAAACACAGTTTCATTAAAAAACCTACTGAAATTATACAATTTAATTTCAAGTTGTATGGGACGAAGTCCATATAAAATGCCATAAATTTTGGAAAAAATATGACACTCAGCAGGATGTTTTCCTTTAGTCAGTTAGTCTAAGAGTGTGGCCATTGTTATGGGAAAGGCCTAGTTTGACTCTTGATTTAAACATCCTCCCACACTGCCAGATCATTGTGTGCTAACCTTACATATCTTACTCAGCGATCTTTTCATTAGCTCATCTCATCTCCGAATATTAACCATGAAACCCCAGACAAATACTAGTGGTGTTGGAGGTACTAAGAAGCATTAACACAAAAGTCTGAGTGTTTTGACAAAACAGAGATTTTAAATACATGTATGCCTAAATGGGATGCAATTGAGATGGAGATGACACAGGCCTTTGGTCTCAATGAAGAAACATTCTGCATAAATTGAAAGATGAGAATACATGGAATGAGTAACCCAGCTTGTGACCTCTTGAAAAGTATGTTATATTGGTTACCACAGCTAAATAAGACAGAAAACTTGTTGTATATTTTGAATGAGCAGAAAACTAAGAAAGATGGGTATTAGGTCATATTATAAAATACTGTACGAGCAGGAAGGAAAGCCTCAATAAGAATGTTTGTTCAGTTCTGGCTGGTTCCACTGGTTTAGCCCTGCCGAAGGGTCTAAAATAAATGTACCCTCAATGCCGGAGATTTTGAAAAAATAAAAAAAATAATTTTGTCTTATCAAAAAATTAGCCCTGATTTTAGAAGATGTGTTTTTTATTTAATGTACACGCCTATGGCAGAGAGCATGTATAGTCCCTTTATATAAAGGGAAGGGGGACAAAAGAGATTGTAAAAATTATAGAGGAATAAGTTTACTGAGTATACCAGGAATAGTGTACGGTAGGGTTATTATTGAAAGAATTAGAGGTAAGACAGAATGTAGGATTGCGGATGAGCAAGGAGGTTTCAAAGTGGGTAGGGAATGTGTAGATCAAGTGTTTACATTGAAGCATATATGTGAACAGTATTTAGATAAAGGAAGGGAAGTTTTTATTGGATTTATGGATTTAGAAAAGGCATATGATAGAGTGGATAGGGGAGCAATGTGGCAGATGTTGCAAGTATATGGAATAGGTGGTAAGTTACTAAATGCTATAAAGAGTTTTTATGAGGATAGTGAGGCTCAGATTAGGGTGTGTAGAAGAGAGGGAGACTACTTCCCGGTAAAAGTAGGTCTTAGACAGGGATGTGTAATGTCACCATGGCTGTTTAATATATTTATAGATGGGGTTGTAAAAGAAGTAAATGCTAGGGTGTTCGGGAGAGGGGTGGGATTAAATTATGGGGAATCAAATACAAAATGGGAATTGACACAGTTACTTTTTGCTGATGATACTGTGCTTATGGGAGAATCTAAAGAAAAATTGCAAAGGTTAGTGGATGAGTTTGGGAGTGTGTGTAAAGGTAGAAAGTTGAAAGTGAACATAGAAAAGAGTAAGGTGATGAGGGTATCAAATGATTTAGATAAAGAAAAATTGGATATCAAATTGGGGAGGAGGAGTATGGAAGAAGTGAATGTTTTCAGATACTTGGGAGTTGACGTGTCAGCGGATGGATTTATGAAGGATGAGGTTAATCATAGGATTGATGAGGAAAAAAAGGCGAGTGGTGCGTTGAGGTATATGTGGAGTCAAAAAACGTTATCTATGGAGGCAAAGAAGGGAATGTATGAAAGTACAGTAGTACCAACACTCTTATATGGATGTAAAGCTTGGGTTGTGAATGCAGCAGCGAGGAGGCGGTTGGAGGCAGTGAGATGTCCTGTCTAAGGGCAATGTGTGGTGTAAATATTATGCAGAAAATTTGGATTGTGGAAATTAGGAGAAGGTGTGGAGTTAATAAAAGTATTAGTCAGAGGGCTGAAGAGGGGTTGTTGAGGTGGTTTGGTCATTTAGAGAGAATGGATCAAAGTAGAATGATATGGAGAGCATTTAAATCTGTAGGAGAAGGAAAGCGGGGTAGGGGTCGTCCTCGAAAAGGTTGGAAGGAAGGGGTAAGGGAGGTTTTGTGGGCGAGGGGCTTGGACTTCCAGCAGGCGTGCATGAGCGTGTTCGATAGGAGTGAATGGAGACGAATGGTATTTGTGACCTGACGTTCTGTTGGAGTGTGAGCAGGGTAATATTTAGTGAAGGGATTCAGGGAAACCGGTTATTTCTATATAGCTGGACTTGAGTCCTGGAAATGGGAAGTACAATACCTGCACTCTAAAGGAGGGGTTCGGGATATTAGCAGTTTGGAGGGATATGTTGTTTATCTTTATACATATATGCTTCTAAACTGTTATGTTCTGAGCACCTCTGCAAAAACAGTGATTATGTGTGAGTGAGGTGAAAGTGTTGAATGATGATGAAAGTATTTTCTTTTTGGGGATTTTCTTTCTTTTTTGGGTCACCCTGCCTCGGTGGGAAACGGCCGACTTGTTGAAAAAAAAAAAAAAAACCTATGGCACAAACCTATTTTCTCTGATGTAGTCTTAACAAGGCCAGCTGGGACCAATCTGGAGTCCCTAGAATTTTGGCATAAATTTATGGTACAGGAAGTTTCCTGGTCAGCGTAAACGTATGTCACTGATAGTTTAGGGTTAAAGTGTGTAGTCAGCTGCATATCAAATTTTGTAGGGGAGAATGTTTGCTGCCATGAATTTTCCTGCACAACTGGAGGAAATAATTGATGAGTAAGGCTATGAACCTGAGCAAGTCTTCAATTAGGATAACATTGGAAGAAGATGCCATCTAGAACTTATATCAGCAAGCAGTAGAAAAGTACCCTTGGATTCAAGGCAGTGAAGGATTATTTCAGCTTCCATCTGTGTGCTAATGCATCAGGTGATATGTTAGCTTATTTATTGCTCCTAGAATGTCCATGCTTTGAAAGGTAAAGCCGAAAATGCTTGGCCTGTTATTTAGTGGTCTAGCAAGACACAATAATGTACACTTCCCTGCCTACATTTAGCTACAATTATATTATTTTTTAAAATTAGGACAATAAAGCTTGTGTGACTTTTTACAGAGAATCGGGAACACAGCCCTACTTTTCCCATGTGTTCTGAAGTCCACTCAATATAATTTTGCATAACATGCCAGTTTTCAGGAATGTGATCTCCATGTTATATGAAAGTCTACTGCACTTTGTCTTTCAAACACACATTAAACAGGGAGAACCTTCATTTTATCACATTTCTTTTGCCCACAGTAGAATTTTATCAAATACAATAAAGGTTTTTTTCTTGTTTCAAATGTTTCTGTATTACTGAGTGTTTGCCTATGCCACTGTCTACCAAATATTCATGGTGCAAATCAATTCAGGGAGCATTAATAAATTATATAACTTAATATTATTACTAAATGTAAAAAGAAGGAACTTTTGTTTCTACTTTTAGGGTCACCCTGCCTTGGTAAGAAATGACTGGTATGTTGAAAAAAAATTACTTTTGTATAATATAGATTTTTTACACATTAATTAACCATTTGCCACCAAGGCAGAGAGATCATTTTATAAGAAAAAAATAAACCATTCATTCCTTAAATGTCTTTCTAAAAGTTCAAGCACATCACAACTCAAACAATCCCACACATCCTTCAAAAATTCAGGCACTGTATTTCCTACATACAGAACTCAGGCCTGAAATTCTTCACAGATAATACAGGTCGGCCATCACTGATCCGGCAATCAGTTATCAATTTCCATCAGCAATCTGGCACTAATTTCGGCTAGCATAATTTCAAAGTTCATCATTATTCTGACTCAAATCATTATACTGACTCAAATTTCATCATTATTCTGACTCAGAAATTGTGCAGGTGGTTGTAAATCCACAGCAGCAAGCCAGTGGAGGAGACAGCAGTGATGAAAATGAGGAAGATGTAGCAGAAAGTCTTTATTGATAGGTTAATAAAGTGTATTCTAACCTAACCACTCTGTAATCTGGCACACTACAGGTCCCAATGATGCCAGATTAGTGATGGCCGACCTGTACCTTGTTTACACTCCAACAGCATATCAAATCCCTAAAATCCACTCTGAGCTAAAAAATTACATAACCACTGAATGCTTAGACCTCTAACTCTCCAGATCTTTATCATATCCTCCTTTCACTCTTTCTTTAGACATTCCCTACACTATATTTCATCTACCCTAGAATTATACACCCTCTTAATTTATGAATCTTTCAAGACTTGTAAACAGAATTTACTGAATAACAAATATTATACCTCTCTCAGTTTCATCCAGTTCAAATAAGAAGACTTCCTTAAGATCATCTTCAGTTTTCCATTTCACCACTTTCTTTTTACGGCTGGCTGGGCGATGGTAGACCAGGACGCTACGTATGCTGTCAGGCATAGGTGACGAGAATGTTACCTCCACTTTCTCATAATCTTCGTGTGCTGGAGCAGGTACAGCTGGTGCATGTGGAATGGTGTCTTCCTTAACTGCTGACAGATTATTTATAGATTAATGAAATAGTCCTGAAAAAATTAGGTCAAGATTTGATGTACAGTAATGCTAACATCAATTTCATAAATCACAGAATGGGTAGTGCTTGACTCTATGGCAAGTGAGTTCTATAGCTCACGACCAGTGTGATAACCTCTAGAGCAGCTGGTCTAGTGGTTAACACACTGACCTTCGATCTTTAGGACTTGCCTGCAGTAGGTTTGAGCCCCATCTGTTCTGTGATTTGTTGCAATCATGTTATGATTTTGTGAATCAGTTTTGTACTCTGGTCTGAGGTACAATTGAAATTATCACTAGCCCTTTCAAGAAATCTTACTGAGATTTATATATCTGCCATATCTTGTGCTGAGAATACTGTTTGAACTCATGTGATAATATCCTGGTTAGGCAAAAATCCTAAAATATGGCACCCTGCATCTCTACACCTTTGATACCATTCAGGGGACCAATAATATAGACATGCAGAGCAGTTTTAAGACTGAAATATAATATCTCATTACCTATTAAAAATTGAAGACAGGCCAATTTAAGTTGGAAAAAAAAAATTCTAGACAATAAAACAATGTTTGATACAAAACCACACAGAAAGCTACTGCATGAACTGGGCATGCAAACTGGGGTGACAAGCAGGCACTAGCATGCATTAAATAATATCTGAATGACAGAATACAGTTACAGTAACAGATAATGCAAACTAACCACCTGCTGGTTGACAGTAAACTTGTACAACAAAAATTTATACTTTCAGATTAAATTAAAGTAACCCACATCAGTCAAAAAGCTCATTAAAATATTAAATGAAAAAAAAAATCCTATTCCAGAAGGAGAGGGATAGAAACTAAGAATAATGACAAAAAATACCTATGGCAGGAGTAACAATTCAATCAAACATATCACCTGAAGTAATCATCAACAACAACAACAAAAAAAAAACCATCAAATAGCATGCTAGGTTGTCCATCAGAAAGCTAAACAAAGATGACCTCCTGACATTCATCACATTTGTTTGACCAAACTTTGAGAGTGCAGTGCCCATGTAGGACCCTCACCTAGACAAATACAAAGTGAAATATGAGAAAGTTCAACAGTATGCACCTAGACTGGTACTAGAACCAAGAATGAAAGGCAGTAAAGCAGCTGGGATTGATGAAATAAAGACAGAAATGTTAAAATCAGGTGGGGATATAGTTTTGGAATAGTTGGTGATTTTATTTAATAAATGAATGGAAGAGGGAGGGTAAGGTACCTAGGGTTTGGCAGAGAGCATGCATAGTTCCTTTGTATAAAGGCAAAGGGGGACAAAAGAGAGTGTAAAAATTATAGGAGAATAAGCTGCTGAGTATACCTGGTAGAGTGTAAGGTAGAGTTATTACTGAAAGAATTAGGAGTACGACAGACCACAGGACCACAGATGAACAAGAAGACCTTAAGAAGGCTAGAGGGTGTGTAGACCAAGTGTTTACAGTGAAACATATAGGTGAACAGCATTTAGATAAGGGTAAAGAGGTTTTCGTTGCATTTATGGATTTGGAAAAGGCATATAATAGGATGGATAGGGGGCAAGGTGACAGATGTTGGAAATGTATGGAATAGGAGATAGGTTACTGAAATCAGTGGAGAGTTTTTACGAGAACAGTGAAGCTCAGGTTAGGATATGTAGGAGAGAGAGAGATTATTTCCCAGTAAAAGTAGGCCTTAGACAGGGATGTGTGATGTCACCATAGTTGCTCAATATATTTATAGATAGGGGGGGTTGTATGAGAAGTGAATGCTTGGGTATTGGCAAGAGGTGTGGGTTTAAAAGATAAAGAATCTAACACAAAGTGGGAGCTGTTACAGTTGCTTTTTGCTGATGACACTGCTTTTGGGAGATTCTGAAGAGAAGTTGCAGAAGTTGGTGGATGAGATTAATAGGGTATGTAAAAAAAGGAAATTAAAAGTGAACATAGGAAAGAGTAAGAAGATGAGGATAACAAACAAATTAGGTAATGAGAGATTGGATATCATATTGGAAGGAGGGAGTATGGAGGAAGTGAATGTATTCAGATATCTGGGAGTGGACATGTCAGCAGATGGATCTATGAAAGGTGAATCACAGAATTGATGAAGGGAAAAAGGTGAGTGGTGCACTGAGGAGTCTGTGGAGACAAAGAATGTAATATCGTGGAAGCAAAGAGGGGAATGTATGAGAGTATAGTTATACCAACGCTCTTAGACAATGTGGAGTGTGAATATAATGCAGAGAATCTGTAGCCTGGAGATTTCTATAAGTATTATCCAGAGGGGGGGGTTGCTGAGCATGGAATGGAATAGAATGACTTGGAGAGCATATAAATCTGTAGTGGAAGACAGGGAAGGGGTTGGCCTAGGAAAGATTAGAGGGAGGGGGTAAAGGAGGTTTTGTGTGCGAGGGGCTTGGACTTCCAGCAAGTGTGCATGAACATGTTATATAAGAGAGAGTGGAGATATATGGTTTTTGTCTTGACATGCTCTTGGAGTGTGAGCAAAGTAACATTTATGAAGGTAAAATAAAATACCTGTACACTAAACAATTTTACAGTAGTAATTGGCTTTATTTCTATTATTTAGTGAAAAAAATATGTTAAGCAAATTTATAAAAGTCAATTGCAAGCTGAAAGGTTGGTCCAATAGCTAAAGCTCATTCTTACAAATTTGAACACGTAACCATACACATACTATAAAGGTGGAAGCAAGACAGCTCCTAATGAATTTAGATACAACAAAAGCTGTGGGCCCAGACAGGCTATCAACTTTGGAATTGACAGGAGCCAAAGTATTGTTAGACCCTTTAGCAAAGATACAAGTGAACTGAAATAGGAAATTGCCTGACAGCTGGAAAGCTGTAAATGTGATCCCAATATTTAAAAAATGTAAAGAAGACAGTAAGCAGTAACCTCTAGACCAGTTGGCTGACTAACACATGAGGAGAAAAGAATATGAAAGAATTACTGTAGATACATAAATGACAACCAACATTATTCTACAGATGACAAATCTCATCAAACAAACACAGAATTTTATGACAGCAATGGAAATAAAGGTGGAGAGAAAACGTTAAGTAGACTATCTTCCTAGATTATAAGATCGCATTTGACACAGTTGTAGGTATAGTAGGTTGGTAAACAGCAACTGCCCAGGGAATTACTACCGTTCTGCCAAGCGAGTGTAAAACAGAAATTTGTAATTGTTTTACATGATGGTAGGACTGCTGGTGTTTTTTTTTCTTTCTGATAACCATGGAAGGTTTTAGGTACATCTTGCTACTTATACTTACACTTAAGTCACACTATACATGCATGTACATGCTTATATATACACACTCCTCTGAGTTTTCTTCTATTTTCTTACTAGTTCTTGTTCTTGTTTATTTCCTTTTATCTCCATGGGGACGTGGAACAGAATTCTTCCTCCGTAAGCCATGCGTGTTCTAAGAGGCGGCTAACATGCCAGGAGCAAAGGGCTAGTAACCCCTTCTGTATAAATTAATAAAGTTAAAAAGAGAAACTTTCATTTTTCTTTTTGGACCACCCTGCCTTGGTGGGATACAGCCAGTTTGTTGAGAAAAAAAAAAAAGAGAAACTTCATTATTCAAATTGGGCAACCCTGCCTTGGTGAGATATGGCCGGTGTGTTGAAAGATGTGACACAGTACCACATAGAAGATTGCTTTACAACTTGAAGAGCAGGCAGTCAGCTTTGGTACTAGCACAAATATGTATTAGTGCACAAGTTACATGCCTAGTGTTTCAACTTACAAACAAGAAATATTCCTGGTGTTTCATCTTATGAAAGAGCAGTTTAAAAAAAAAAAAAAAAAAGGAAGGTTATGCTTCACACGTCAATAACGCATATAAACGTTTGTTAAATTTTAATTAATTCCTAGTGGCCCACTGATAAGTGTAGACTTTTTAAACAGTGTTGGTAAGTTGGTGGCATCATGTACTGCAATAAAGATAATTATTATAAATAAAACCAAATTATAACTTTGTAACAAAAAAGTGCTAAATACCAATGGGCCACCATACTAAGATGCATCAATGTAGCATTTACATAAAGGTCATTATTGCAAATCAAACCCAAGTATAACCGAAGAATGCTAAATAAAACTGAACCTGAGTAGTGATACAAGCATTAACACCATCAAGCAGAAGTATGACCACTATTACCAACATCACACCACCACCATCACCACCACCACCTACCAGCATCACTATCACAGCCACCATCACCACCCCCAGGCTGTATTGATGTCTCCTTCTCCTCACTTTCATCCAGATCCATATTCGTAGTGGTGGTGTCATCCTCAGCTCCCAAGACCTTAAGATCCTCGTCACCATCTTGGCTCTCGCTTGGTTTACTGACGTCTTCCTCTCCTTCTCCTTTATCTCCCGTATCCATTGGCTCGCTGGTTTCTGACGCTTCTGTCTCGTCATTGTCATTCTTGGCTACATCGTCATTGTCATTGTCGTCTTTCAGCGTCTCTTGATAGAACTGCAAGACAAACAAATGGATAAAGCTTCATTTGTTTGTTTCAGGTCTGTTACAAGAAGTAAGATGGTGAAGGGCACTTCTTCCAGGGAATTGGAGCTACTCTCCCCTTCCTTAGATGAGAACTATTTCCAGGCACTGTTTGACTGGCAAGTTTAGTGCTGCATCAGCTGGTTACAATAATCAATGCCTCCCCATAAATAATAATAGTAATAATAATAACATAATACAAGTACCATCTGACTTACGACCTGCTCGACATACGACCACTCATACTTACAACCACACGTCTGGCAGCATATAAAGTAGTAACATATTTAGTAAAAAGTAACATACGTCTGGCAGCATATAAACTAGTGAAATATGTATTTAGCAAACAGTAACATACAATACTATGTAGGTACATTATAAAGCAAAGGTTTGACATTATGCCCTACCCAGTATGTCGGCAATTTTCTAAGGTTCGACTTGCATCCATTTTGACTTACAACCAGTTGGTCGGAACCAAGCTCAGTCGATGGTACTCGTATTAATACTACCAACAATAATAATATGTAATAATAATAGGTAAGAAGTGTGGCTGGTGAAAAAAAAAGGAAGTTACATGCAAGACACATATAATTCCTCTGGTGTTGTTCTGATTCTACAATATGCAATGTAAATTAAGCTTCAAAATTTATGAGAAATGTATTAATACACCACAAGTCACACAGGCACATAGGTGATAACTGCTACAACCAGTGGAAACTTATTTTAAACTATGATAAACTAAATACTGAAGAAAGAACATCCTGAGCTGAGATCTACTCTTGTAGCTACAAACAAGTAATAAATCAATCATACATATTCTCCCTCTCTCTCTCTCATCCCATCCTCCCACCTCTCTCTCTCTCACCCCCGTCTCTCTAACACACACAAGCAAGGTGCTGTTTCTGATTGATGTGGATGATGTATTAAATGGGCTTGATTCAGATGTACCTGATCGCTCATGACGTAAAATTAATGAGAATACAAACATATATGAGGACGGGGAAAGGCTGTAAATAACTCTGGACAAACTGCAGGGATGGTCAGATAAGTGGTTGCTTGAATTCAACCCCAGCAAATGAAAGGTTATAGAGCTTGAGGAATGGGCCAGAAGAACGGACATAGAGTACAGACTCAGGGGACAGAAGATGAAGACTTCAAGAGAAGCACCCGGGAGCAAGTGTAGTGCCTAGCATAACAACAGCTCATATCAACTAAACCTTTGCAGCCTATGCAAGCCTGGAAAATCTGAAAACGGCCTTTAGGACTCTCAACAAAGTAATTTCAGATACTTTATACAACATATGTCAGGCCCATTTTTGTAGTACTGAGTGCCAGTACGAAAAGCAGACCTTAGGAAGTATGTTAAGATACTGAAAAAAGAGCAGAAGTATACAATGTGACTAGTCCCAGAGCTAAGGGGCATTAAGCTATGAAGAAAAGCAAAAGAAATTGAATCTAACGACACTAGAGGACAAAAGGACTGGTGGAAATATAATAACATACAAAATACTCAGAGAAATTGATTGGGTAGACAGGAACAGGCTATTTGAGAAGCGGGAAGCAAGTACTCAAGGGGCACAGCTGCAAATTAAAGAGAGATGAGCCACAATAATGTTAGGAAGTATTTCTTCAGTCTCAGGGTGGTCGGGAAGTGGAATGAGCTCAACGCAGAAGTGGTGGAGGCAGACCCCCATACATAGTTTTAAGAATAGGTACGATAGGGGCCACAAGGCTAGGGAGGAGGAAGAGGAGGAGGAAGGAAGGGAATGGACTAGAGAGAGACTGACGAGCGGAAAGTTGAGAGGCGGGGCCAGGAGCCAGGAATCGACCCCTGCAACCACATATAGGTGAGCACATACACACAGACCGTGTCAGCTTGAAGGTACCTCTCCTACTCCCTGTACACACTGGTGTCCCGTAAACTTATCACCACACATAGATCGCTCTCACACTTAAGTATGCACCACTCTCCAGGGTTATGGAGAAGTGCTGAGCCTGTAAGTCATGCCGTGTACAAGGCAGGTTAACCAAGGTGGAGTTGTTAGGTAAGACATATGCAACAGTTAGGTATCTTTATTTCGAAACGTTTCGCCTACACAGTAGGCTTCTTCAGTCGAGTACAGAAAAGTTGATAGAAGCAGAAGAGACTTGAAGACGATGTAATCAGTCCATCACCCTTAAAGTTTTAAGGTGGTCAGTCCCTCAGTCTGGAGAAGAGCATTGTTCCATAGTCTGAAACAATATTGTTTCAGACTATGGAACAATGCTCTTCTCCAGACTGAGGGACTGACCACCTCAAAACTTTAAGGGTGATGGACTGATTACATCGTCTTCAAGTCTCTTCTGCTTCTATCAACTTTTCTGTACTCGACTGAAGAAGCCTACTGTGTAGGCGAAACGTTTCGAAATAAAGATACCTAACTGTTACATATGTGTCTTACCTAACAACCTGTCGGTATTTTATACCATTTTAATGTTCAAGGTGGAGTTGCTTGCACTGAGAGTCCCCCAGCAGTGTCAAGGGACCACACGTGAAAGGTGGTTCATGGAGTGCCATGTTACTGTGGCACCTTTGACCTCTGCACCGTGAAACCTCTCAGTGGAGGTTCAATGAATGTAATAACACACACACACATACACGAAACAAGCCCAGTGTTACTGACAAGTGCCTTTGACATCTAGTAACTACTAAGTGCCTTTGACACCTAGTAACTACCAAGTGCCTTTGACACCTAGTAACTAACGCACACTCATTAATACATATAAGCAAGCTTGCAATAAAACTTCGTCATTAAAACTCATAAAAAAGCTCATGATAAAAAGTCAACATCCTGTATACGTACATAGCATACAGTATAAATTCTACTGAAGATTGAGACTGTCGGTTTTTCAAACCATTCATCATAAATTCTACTAATTTTATGATACGCAAAAGAAACCACAAGGAAAGTCAAACAAGCTCAGAGTGGCAAATACATAGATGTGTATATCTCCTAGTACATACACACCGAATTTACTTTAATCCCTAGTTAAAAGATTAAAATGTATTATCGACATTAGTGAACAGGTAAACTGCAGCCTTAATAACTCGCGTCATTAAAGACAGAAGATACTGTATAACGATGCACACAATATGGATGAATGGACACATGTAGATACACTTTGGACATCTTTATTAGACACGTTTCAGTCTGGGACCTTTTACTCTACGTATCTGGAGTGACCATAAACCCAGGACCGAAATGTATCCAGCAGAGCTGTGATAAATGTGTGATTTGCTCTTTCATTCACTACGTCAATTATTTGTCAAGAAGTCAAGTAAAAGGACACAAGTGCAACTAATGTGACTTTTTTATTGTGGCAACGTTTCGCTCTCCAGAAACTTTGTCAAGCCGTTACAAACAGTACATGGACACAGGGAATATATTGGCTCAAAGTGAGGTGCAATACTCGTGGTAGTAGTAGTAGTAGTAGTAGTAGTAGTAGTGATATAAGTTGTAGTAGTAATAGTAGTAGTAGTAGTGATATAAGTTGTAGTAGTAGTAGTGATATAAGTTGTAGTAGTAGAGTAGTAGTGATATAAGTTGTAGTAGTAGTAGTGATATAAGTTGTAGTAGTAGAGTAGTAGTGATATAAGTTGTAGTAGTAGTGATATAAGTTGTAGTAGTAATACAATATGGTAGAACAATTAACTTGCACATGAGTAAAACAGTAAACCATGCCACCATCACATAGTCTCTCCTGTTAATACTACACAAGCACATTACAGAGAATGAACACTGAAACAGACCTTCTCTATCCAGCCTCCTATAGAAATATTTGTGTAACCTATTTTTATGTTACTCAAGTAATAGCTTTTATATCCTTTTACTCATGTGCAAGTTAATTGTTCTACCATATTGTATTACTACTACTACACCTTATACCACTACTACTACTACCACTAGTATTGCACCTCACTCTGAGCCTATATATACCCTCTGCATCCATGTACTGTTTGTAACGGCTTGACAAAGCTCCTGCAGAGCGAAACGTTGCCAAAATAAAATGTCACATTAGTTGCACTTGTGTCCTTTTACTTTACATATTGTCGGTAATTCTACCAACATTATTACAATTTGTCAAGAAGTCGCCCATATGTGGGAGGTGAAAAAAACGGCGAAATTACGTCCACGGAAAGAGCTAAACCCGCACGACAGAGGTAAAAGAGACAGTATAGGGTGGAGAGGTGGTGACGAGAGGGACAACGGTAGACAGCATTACAAGCAAGTCGTCGGTGGAGTAGCAGCAAATCAGTGCTAGTTAAGAAATCACAGTGTTAGGACAATGTGTTCTTAAGATAATTACTATTTTCTTGTTGGGCAGCACTAAACCTGTAAGATCCACACAGTAGTTAGGAAACCACAAACTTTAGTTAAGTCAGACTAAAAGAAGTATATTATTATTATTATGGGGAGTGCTAAACCCGTTGGGATTATACAGTGTTTGTGGGGTGGGGACATTTTTTGAAGGTATTCAGGGAATTAGAGTACAGATCCAATTCGCTAAATCAAGAGCCCCTCACCAGCATCAAGGAACCTCCCTTGAGGGTACTTACATTGAAGGTGGGTTTGACGCTGGTGGGTGAGAGGATGCCATCCTCAGTCTTGGTAGTAGTAGTAGTTACAGTGGGTGAAACAGCATCCTCCTCCTCCTTCTCTTCTTCCTTCACCTCGCTCTTGGGATCACCCTCACTTGACTTCCTCTTCCGGGTAACCTTTTTCCGTGTGTCAGTTCCCGCGGCCGTCAGCGCCGCCATGAACCCACCATCGTCAGACAGAGACGCTGTGGACACACAAAAAAAAATCATTAATCACGATTCGATTATTGAAAATTTTCCCACAAGCAGAAAATGAAATGATGGAATGTTACACAGTAAATTAAATGCTGCTGCTGATGCCGCCTCTGTTAACCTAGAATTAGAAATATATGTTAATAGTGACCAAAAATTAATTTTCCATGATCAAAATTTCACCATGACAGCCCCTCCCCCCTCAAAAGGCTATATATATATATATATATATATATATATATATATATATATATATATATATATATATATATATATATATATATATATATATACACGCATACACACACGTAACAAGAACCTTATAACATAAACGAAAAAGAAACAGAAATACCGAAGCCGTAGTAAACAATTTCATTTAATATCCAAACATTTCAGTTTCAAAAATATAATTTTTAAGCACTAAACCCGTATGAGTCATACAGCACTATGGGTATGGATGTACGAGGGATGGAGTATACAAAGATTAGGAGCGGGCGAAAACAATAAGCTAGTTTCCACCCAAAAAAATCAAAACTGTGAATGGTGGGACGTTCCTGGTGTTGGGGCGTGTTGATGTAGAAAGTCAATACTGTATGCTCGCCGGCACACGACAATTTATTAAGATACAGTATACTGACAGTGTAACTTCATCATCAGTGCTAAAATATAGAAGAACATTTACCAAGCAAAAATATTTAAGTAAAGTCATAAAATTTATAAGTAAACTACACGAACCCGACGCATAATATATCTAACATAACATTTTTACTAACACAAAGTTATATTCTCACCCACACAAATTAATGTGTGAATAACTGCAGGAATATAATGAATCTGTTCAGCTGGTCTGTTTTCACGCTACACTTTCAACATTATATTCATGGGGAGGTGCGGAACCCGTAGGGTTCAATCAGCGCCTGCATAAAGGGACGTAATCAGGAAGTAATCCATGAATAAGTAGTTCCTATTCTTTGAATCACAGAACTTCTCCAGCAACAAGACACCCTCCCTTTATGGTTTACTGCATAATAAACCACAATAAACAACAAACGACTTACAGGTTTATATTTACACACCAACACATAATACATAAAACTATGGTGTTATTACATTCACAAAGAAGCGCTAAACCCGTACATAAAATTATTATAAATTATTATTATTATAATCAGCCGTACATAAAAGTATACATACAAGACAAGAGATACATGTCGAGGCAGTTCCCATCGTTAGATTCATGGGTAAGAATTAAATCCTTATGTGTTATACAGCGTCTGGGGGTTGGGAAGGTATCAGGTTCTATACAAGGAATTAGTAGCAGGTTCGACGGCGTTGTCCCAGCCCGGGTATCCAAGGAAGGGTAGCGGCAATTTCTTCGACAGCATAAGGCACCTCCAGCCCCACCCCTAACCCACTTGAGGGTAACGAGATCGTTCTCAGGACAAGTTCTAATGAGTGGCTGGCTTCCTTATTATGTTGAAAGTATATTGACAGCACCAGGATCTTTCAGGCTGAATGTCATCTCTACATCCACAGATACACTCTTCACAGTTCATGGAAAGGTCAGTGTACGATAGTGAATGTATCAAGGTGAGTGTCGACTCAGGCGAGGAGAGATTACAACAGAGAGAAAGGTCTTGTACAAGAGTTCTGCAATGGTACTGTCCGAAATAAAACTGCCATAAGTTTATTATTATAATCACACACATACAAAAAAAAACCCCGCTAAATCCATAAACCGAGAAGAGATTATTCGGTTGTGATGAATAAAACACACGTGTAACACTTGAGTAGTTTTATTTCATTACAGACACCCAAATGTTGCACATGTTTTGTTCATGAACTTGTTTACATGGCTATACTTAGGGTAAGGGAAGGTACACGAGTACCTGGAGCAAATAATGTTAATGTCATCAGACAATTTCATTTATGTAGTCACTGTGTACTTGAAGGCGGCATTTCCAGAGAGAACGGCGAGAAGTATACTCGTTATATACTGTAGTAGACGGATCATACATCAGGTTTGATTCAAGGAAGGGGAGGACAGCTGCAAGATTACTATTATAATAACTAAGCGCTAAACCCATAAGGGCCACCATAGATCAATAGGTTTTCACCAGCATCAAGGTACCTTCCCCTGTTCTTCTTGGTGTTGAAAAGTGTAATTTTCATGGCTACATTTGACATTTTACAAGTGTAATATGTTACTACCTTCACTTCTGTACAACTTATAGGATGCGTTCTTCACAGGGTGAACTGATGCCGGTGGATTATTATTATTATAATCAAGGGGGTAGCGCTAAACCCGGAGGATTATACAGCGCCTGGGGGGGGGGGTGTGGAAGGCATTCAGGCTTAATTCGGGGAACTGGAGCACAGATCCAATTCCCTAAATCAAGAGCCCCTCACCAACATCAAGGAACCTTCCTTGAGGGGTGATGCCGGTGGAGGGTTCTTGATAAGAATTGGAGCTACACTCCTTTTCCTTGGATCGAACCCGATTGTCTACCGTCTAGGAGCTGTATGGTCCCTACAGATTTAGCGGTCCCCCATGAATGTATAATATATAATAATAATTACATGTGATACAGGTCATCCTCATTCTTTTATTTACTTTTTAGTCACTTTGTTGCTATCTTACTATAAATTAAAACGGCGCGAGTTATTATACAGTGTTCACAAGAAAGTGCTACACCTGCATGGGTCAAACAATTGCAATGTTGTTTTCCTTCTAACTAAATAGTTGTACAATCAATATTCTTAGTGGCGATGCTGTGAGAGTTATACACAAAAAGTTATATACCTCACATATTATAGTAGGTTATGTATACACACACCTGAAAATTAATAGAGCTACATTGTGCGGCTATTCTTAGCTATGTGACAGTTTCATTATTTTAATGCAAGATCTTTGTTAGTTTTCAGAAATAAACCAAATCTGTCAGCTTGAAGCAGAAGATGTATCGGGCGACGAGGATATTGCCAAGTGTTCCACTTTGAGTTCAGTAGTTACGTCAGCTTTAAAGGCTTTCCTTAAAGCAGTAAAGGTAAATAAAGCCTGCCAGTGAAACGGTTGCCACACCCTGCGTCATTATACATATATATACTTCAATGCCCGAAAGGAGTCATTCACAGATGTTAAAAAAAAATTTAAATATTGCATTCACGATGGTATAATAACAATTCTGATAAAATATCTGCCTAATTTTGCCAACTGTAAATCACTCGTGTATACATATTGTAGCGTGCTTAGTCAACAGACTAAGGCCATTATGTGCCTCTGTTATCTTTCTGACTACCGCTCACACCATGAGTATGGGATGACTACCACCCACACTATGGGTATGGGATGATTACCACCCACACCATGAGTATGGGATGACTACCACCCACACCATGGGTATGGGATGACTTGCCCTACACCATGAGTATGGGATGACTAGTACCCATATAATATTATATATATTATATATATAATATATATATTATATATATATATATATATATATATATAATTAGTCATTTAGCATGAACTCATTTAATATTAAGTCCTTTTTAAAAAAATTATCATATGTTTAAAGATATATTTTTTCCATTGATGTTAATGTAAAAAATTAATAATTTTGTACCAAAAGAACCTTAGAAAACTTACCTAATCTTATAACAAGAGCAATTTAATTTAGCTTAATCCAACTAAATATATTTCAGGTAAGTTTACAATAACTGAGTAATTATATATATATATATATATATATATATATATATATTATATATATATATATATATATATATATATATTATATATATATATTTTCGTTAGGTTCAGAATGAATTTTGCGAAAATATTACATACACAAATTTTCGCTTGCCTTATTTGACAAGAAAAGCGTTGCTATTTAAGGCAAAATAGTAAGTTTTACTATTCGGCACGACACACACAATTATATATATATATATATATATATATATATATATATATATATATATATATATATATATATATATATATATATATATATATATGACTGCTGCCCTTTGGATTAATATGAGGTACAAAAGAAAACTAGCGAAGAACAGACACAGGTGCACAATCAACCTTTAATTGCAACGTTTCGCTGTGTGGAGCTTTATCAAGTCAATAATGAAGCTCTACACAGAAAGAAGCGTTGTCACAAAGCTTGTTGTGTGCCTTTCTTTCTTCAAGTGAGTCTGAAAAAGTGGCAGAAATGTAGTATAATGCGAACTTTTCCTGATGACGTTTCGCCCATACAGTGGGCTTTACAGAGTCACTGATAAACCTGGAGGTGTATCTGTGGCTTGATAAAGCCCACTATGTGGGCGAAACGTTGTCAATATAATCGCATTATTCTGCACCTCTCTCTCTCTCTCCCATCTTGTCTGTATTTTATACCATTTCTCTCCACGTGAATCGGAATTTTTTATTTTTGTAATTCTATGCAATTCAATGTTTATATATAAAAACCCGCTAAACCCGTGTGGGTCATACAACGGAAATATCACAAGATCTTTAAAAAATAATGTTCATAAATACAGGTTAGGTAACCTGTGAAGAATGACCTAACAGAAAACATAAATAATATATTTTTAGGTTTTAGGAGTAACTTTAGCTATTGTACATTATTAGTGAACAAAGGGGAAAACTTAGTATTATCTTCGACTTAATGGGTTAATACACAAACAACTCGCACATAGGAGAAAGAGGGTTATGGCGATGTTTTGGTTCGACTTGGACCACTGAATAATCACACTATCACACGAAGGTAAGGGAGCCAGTATATATATACACGAGAGGACAGGGGGGAGGGGGGACAAAGAAATGAAGGTTAATTTTAAGTGAGAACCAAACATTTTTGTGTGGGGCAGGAGGTAGGGAGAGGGAGTAATGGGGAAAGGATCGAAGGAGGAAGTCTGGAGGAGTGAGGGATGTGTAGTGTGAAGGAGGAAGGAGTCTGTGGAAGAGAGGCTCACCAAG